CCAAAAAGAGTAATGCCTGACACAGAAAATTTCGACTAAATCAGTAAACATTAGTTGATGACCAACAATTATTAACCTGAAAATTGAAGCAAAAAAGAGTGCAAAAAAATGCAATGTCACTGGGCTGACGAAAGGAATAATTGATTAAAAAACTAATACTCGAAAATTTTTTCAACCTGTCACACAACGAATAGACAGCTCACGTAAAGAAAGATAACGTCTCTTGACAATGTATTTTTGCCAAAATTTTTCGACAAACTAACTCACAGTCTAACATGTTAAAAAAAAATGCTTTACTTTTTCACTTTCTTATTCTATAAATGCCTGTTCGTTTCCCTCTCACACTGGCATACAACAGTTTTTTAGTACCTAAATCAATCTTTCCTGAAGTGCTACTGGTTTACAAATAAACGATTTACAACTAATTTCCGGTCGTCTTCTTCACTTCAGTTTTGAAACTACACGTTTTACTGTATCGCTTGAGCTTGCATATTACGCCTTTTAAATCACAATGTTTAAGTTTGGTAAGACATTAGAGGTGTATATGAATTCTTGAGCATTGACTCTGCCGAGACCCTACAGTTGAAAAACTGCAAATTGTGCACGTAAACTGTCCAAACTAAGCTTTGGTTGAGCTTTCGACATACCTTCTAAGCCTCTCAGTGGTACTCGATCTTTTAATGAAAAAACTTAAGTTAAAGAACTAAAAGTTCAACATTTTTAATGTAGTCGCCATAATAATAGCAGAACAATATTTATAATCAAAACTTAGTACAATAGCTTTTTCTAAACTTTTTTAATTAATAGAACAGTCTTACACCTAGAGCACTAAAACAGAAATCAGTCAGTATTGATAATCCAACTTTTTGTTAAAAAAAACATCTAGCAAAAAAATAAATGATTAAAAATTTTCTGAGCCTATACTAGAACAATGAGAATGTTGAAACAGTGTAAAAAATGCAATTCAAGCTGCTTTTTCCAAAACGTTCTTGCAGTCGCTCGTTTAATTCAAACGCTATTTTTCTTCGTTTGTTAAAGTGCACTTTAAACCATTTTAATACAGACATTGAAACGTAGCAAAGAACCCAAAAAAAAACAGATTCACTGACAAGATAACAGAAGCTACAACTTCTGTCACAGCCGCAAAACAGACAGTAATTCAAACAAAAAACAATGTTATTTTTAAGATCGAATACTTTAACAACAACAAAAAATTCAGATCTAGCAAAATTTTTACATATCAGAAACAAGATGTATTTTTTACATTTTGTTTCAAAAGTCATTAAAATATTCTAAATGCTAAAAAAAGTTTTTATTTTTTTTGCCATAAATACTTACAGAAATACTAGCCTTAGTTACAACTAACAGTATCGAGTGACTTGTTTCAAACAGAAGCGCCGTTCTAAAACCGACTCCAAATATGCTATTGCAGTTGTAGAACAGCCCAAAAAATAAAAAACATCTAAATGAATATCTGTATTCGCATGCAAAATAAACCACTAAATTAAAAAGGCAACAAAAATTTGGCACTTCTTCACCGCTTTCAAAACACAATTTGTAGGAAAACAGAAGAAACTTGAGCAAAATATCACAACGGCACCTTTTAGACAGCAAATCTACAAAATTTCACGGGGATTCAAAAGTAAATGAAATCACCTGATTTTGTTTTCATATTCGTCTCTCACGTACATTATATACAAAACCGGGGGAAGAAACTAAGCCATATCAAGCTAACAAAGCAACAACGATCAAAGCTTTGCGTATTCTCCTGTGTTAATTTCTGCTAAAATATCTGGACTAAGAGGCACATATCCTCCAGTAATTGCATCTCGAAAATAGACGCGGTTGTCCTCAATACCCAGCTGGTAACCCATTTTTATCAAGTTGGTTTTGATCAATTTATATGTTCCTTAAAATGTGTTCAGTTTTATTAAAATTTGCTTATGATACTTCATTAACCACCAAACTGTTGAGCACTTTTATGTTTAAAATATCCGATCTAACAAATGTGTTTAGCCAAAACATAACATTTTATTAATAACCAAAATATTTTTAAAAAAAGTCTAATTTGATGCTGCTAAAAGCTATGTTGTTTAGGCACAATTGCACAAATTTAATTTATAAGATAAAAAAATTCCTTTGGTTTATTAAAAATCCAACACTTCTTAACAGTTTAGAGTTTATGTGGTTATAGAAAAAGTTCAGTTTACTGGTTTGGTCATTGAATAAATTGTTTACGATACCCAGCAGTGAAAATAGTTACTAACGATAGTAACGCTAATAGGAAGCAGAATAGAAAATTGTGTTTTACTTGTTCTTTAAAGTCTTACCAGTTTTATCAACTGATGAGCATAGCCTAATGAATACCGGTATCGCATAAGATGCTAGACTACAATCGAGTCTCTCTTTTATACGTTGAACGAATTCCTGCAATGTTTTATTTTTACCTAAAATTTGCCGTTAAAAAAAGGTATATTAGACTGAAAAGCAACAAGAGATTATTCCTACAAATTACAGAACTATTACCTCATCAGAGAGCCCAGCATCTTCTTTCATGACGACGGCAGCCATTCCAGCTCTCCCTTCTTTCCCTAAAAAAATCATCAAAAATTCGCAGTAGTCTATGTTTACAACCGGAATGTTAGAAGGCGGCAAAAGCTGTTCCAGCAGTTTTGAATGTGAATAATCCATGCTGACAGCCATTATGCACAAAAATAGATGACAAAAGTGAAGAAAGAAAAAGTTAATTGAACTAAACGCTAAATTGAAAAATTCTGTGAATTATTACCTGGTATTGTGACTCCATAAACTGTGGCATCCTCCACACATGACATGGGATGCAAAATTGCTTCCACTTCTGTTGTGCTTACGTTTTCTCCTTTCCATCTGTACGTATCACCGGTGCGATCTTTAAAATAAACATAACCAAGTCGATCCCAATGAAGAATGTCACCTAAAGCATTTGTAGAAGTCCTTTTTTGATGATTTTCTTAACCTATTGACAAATTACTTCAGTAAAAAGAAAAAAGATTTTTGACAAACAATATGAGACAATAAATATAATGAATGACGAAATATAAGTCAAATTGTACAGATTCCGTTGAATAACATTGACAAATGAAGTAATTTATTGTCTTAAAAATCTTTGAAAAATTTTGGTTTGTTATTTTGAAAATATTCACAGCATCTGAATCTTTTTATCTTTACTCTGTTTCCACCAATGCTTCTTCTTCATATAAAAAAAAACAAATTCTTTCTACTTCTTCAAAAACATCACGGTTTCTCTTCTTAAAACTAATATTTTGTTCAAAATGAATATTTCTGTTTTCCACTCTTGCGAGTTAAACCAAAAGAACAATATCAATGAAAAGAACAGTACAATGACTGTAAACTGGAAATGTTTAGTAAAAAAGTACTAGCTAATTTCTAGACCATAATTAAAGAGCTAAAAGCATTTGCCCTTAAATCGATAAAAAATAAACAGTTTTAGCAAAACAAAAATAAGTTCGAGCGCGAAACACAGCCAGTAAACCCTGTGACTGGCTTTGCAACACTGATGACCTGGGTAACCAGGTTTCACCGTTCCGCTTATCGTTTTCACACTAGTTGTATAGTAATAATGCTAGATTATAAAAAAGCTAATGTATTTGAAACGACAGTAAAGTTTTCTTGGTTTTCTTTGAACAGAAACCGTTTCAGAAGCTTCTGGTCAGTTTAAAGCACTTGCCATTGTAGATGAGTTGTTAGAAAAAAAATAGTTCATGAGGTAAAAAAATAGCTTAAGAAGATGAGATAATTGAAACAGAAAGAAACGAGCAGCAATAAATTATAACAAAAAGCTGTAATAAAAAGCAAGGAAAGTAATAAATTTTTTTCTTAAAATATTAACTAAAAGCTTTCATGATTTCTTCTCTCTTTTTAAATCACTTGTTAATTTCCAAAACAATGTTTAGTGATATACTTGTAAGAACCCTAATGTTCAGTAGCATTCGCTGACAAACCGTTAACGCATAAACTTCTTTTAGAATTAGGAATAGAAGAGAAAGATTTTACTCTAAAGGTTTCTTTGAATTCTAGTGCTCACTGATAATTTTAATAATTTTATCTCTTTGAAAAATCTTTTTTTGTTCTAGAAAGTGTACTTTTTTTTCACAGTTACAGATGCTCTACACTGATGCAAAATCTCTTCTTAAAGATTCTGTTTGAAAAGCCAAAAAGAACATTACTGTTCTGTCAAGCATATCAGCATTGCAACGCAACGATCCGAAGAGGGCAGAGAAGTTGCCCAAGCCACTAACAACGTGCAGCCAATCAAAGTGTTAATCGGCTTCATCATATATGCGCTTTTTTCTTTTTAAAGTAACAAAAAGTGATATTTTAAAATAACAGTGACGCAATCCATCTCTATTGTATTTTAAACGTCACAACAATTAAAAATAGAGAAATCAAGAAGTCCATTGACTGATTAAATTTTTACACATTTTATGGTAGCTTTCAAACAGTATGTGTTACTCTGTTGCTGTTTAGCAAAGAGTAATATAGATCGGTGCAGTAAGACACTTGTAAAATGAAGACTTAGCAGATTTGCTTACCAGTTAGAAAAGCACTATCGCCGTCTTTGAAAACGTTGTGCAAAATCTTCTTATCTGAGTCCTTGTCATTAACATACCCTTCATAAATCAGCAAAGGATTATTTTTACGTATACTAGAAACCATCGCTCCTGTTTCTCCTGCAGTTAACATAGAACGTTATTAGGCGTGCAAAGTACTGTAAGAAACTGTCAGAGCTTTCAAAATTGTTACACAGTCTATGACACGATTAAAACTTAGACAGCTATTAGTTGTAAATATTTAAGTACTTTCAACCATACGTTGTTTATAGTGCAGACATAAAACAAGAGCAATAAAAACTAGAATTGGTCTAGACATAGTAACACTTACCTGGATTGCATGCGATACAAAAACCATTCTTGTCTCTAAGTACTTCACCAGTAACATCGTCAACTTTCACGAGTCTTACTGGATGCAGATACTTGGTAAGTGGAGAAATCGGCAGAAAGCCGCATGCACCCGGATGACCGTCAACATTTACTAAATGTATTCTATTTTCGCCTATTTTCTATTTAATTAGCATAAAAACTTAGTTGAAAATTTTGAAAAATGATTTAAACATCAGAAAAAATCTTTCACATTAGCACGAAAAACTGGTGGACGATTTCTTACTTTATAACTTTATGCACAAGTAGTGATCAAGTTATCAGTGTAAAAAATCTAACTTTAATTTTACTACCGTATTTTTGAGTCTATTATAAATCTGAACAACTTTTTTGAAATAAAAAATACCAAATGCAGAAAATAATTTCGACTTTACTTAAGTTAATCAAAAAGTGGTGGAACACCCAAGAAAGCTGAAGAGGAATGCTAAACTGCAAAAAAGAAATTTCATTTGCATAAAATACTTAACAGATTTATCTATTAAAAAGCTTACTTTAAGAAAACCAAATTCAAAGAAATAAGTTTATTTTTATTAATGCAGATGTTGCAAACCCCAAAATGTTCTGATTGATGCAAGATTACTCAAAAATGTCGCTAACCTAACGTTGAAGTTCCTTCTGTAGACCCGTATACTTCGCCAATTACGACACGAAATCGCGTGACAAAGTGCTCCCAAATTTCCTTCCGAAGTCCGTTCCCGTACATCAAGCGAATCTTATGATTCTTTTCTTCAGTGGTAACCTTTTGCGCTAGCAGGTATCGGCAGATTTCACCAATGTACTGCGATGCCTAAAGCAGAAGTGATTTTTACAAAATACTCTTGAGATCATTTTACATATCAATCTCTCTTTTGCTCCTAATTGCTGTGCATCGATGGTGCTACGGTGTCGTACTATAAATGAAAAAAAGAGAAACTTACACCTATCTGCCTTAAAAACTAAGGTACTTGTGATAACATTTTAGAATGCTGAATTAGGTGATCGTTTAAGAACCATTTTGTTCCAAACTAGTAAGCGACCATTATTTAGCATGCAACAACAGTTCTAAGCTCTATTTTACAGTCAGCGACTTACTGTGCATTGATATTCAACGCAATCCTTCCAGAAATTACTGGCTGAGAATTTCCTGCGGATAACACACGTACAACCATTAATGAGGGTTTGACCGATACCAACAATACCGGCAGCTGTGTGATATAATGGCATTGCAACGTAAATTCGATCCTCATTTGTAATTTTGAATGTTTTTGCAGCACCCATTGCCATCCAGTAATATCTATAAGAAATAAATTTTGTAAAAAAACTAAGTCATTTTTGAAATAATTATAAAAACAAATTTTATTGAGCTTTTTTTTTACTTTTTGAACTTGCAGTAAAATTAGGCAATGTTAAAAAAGTGCGCAAACTTATTTGCCCACAATATCTGTTTCAAGAAAAAATAAGCAGCAAAAACATTTTCTGCAAATTGCATACAATTTAAAAATAGAACCTAAAATTTTTCATTACGGCAGCTTTTGGCATTCCAGTAGTGCCACTTGTATAGATAAAACAGAGAACACCTGAAAAAAGAAGTTGATACAATAAATTTGGACAATTAAAGACATTTTTATGTAATCCAGCATATTGAGATTTTCATTATTTTCTACAAACTATCAAATCGTTTCAGTTGGATTGATTATCAAATCTTATCACCATTACCGCTTCAAATGAAAGATAAGCAACTTTTCCACTTTTTAAAAACCAAAAAGTTAAATAATCATCATTTCTGCTTAACAATTTATTTAGTTCAATTTTACTCCTTTTGCAAAATAAAGTAGGTATAGACAAAAGAAGCTGTTCTAAACTTGTTTTGGAGATTCAGTGATCTTTTACTGCGTTTATAGCGGAATGCTTCCCAGAATACATAAAATTTATAGCCTATGAAAATAACGTAAAATTTAGCAAACAGCGAATGACCTTTCGTTGGTGTTCATTTAAGATTGAAACGTTATTTGCAAAGTTCAAAAACCTATCTTGCTGTTTTTTTTAGGTATCTAATTAAAAAAATACGCGTTTAACGCATTAAAGCCCACACGCTTTTTGGCGTTTAAAATTGCTGGATTAGGTGATAAATCTCAGCAGCTTCTAATCTACTGCAATTAAAAAAAAACTGGCTCGTAATAAAGAAGCTAAGTTATCAAAGCTGCTGCAAAGTATCACTCAGATAAAATACTTTTTACATCTGTTCAAATACTACCACAAAAAAAGTATGCCAACTACATATTAAACTTTTAAACCAAGAGGTGACAAGGCTCATTAGTCAGCCTTATAAATAAGCTGAAAAATTTAGTTTTATAAAAGTTTAATAACAAAGAAATATTCTATTTCGCTTGTATAAATTAAAAACTAAAGCAATTATGCAGTACTTTTGAAATGTACAGAATCCTGTTTCTGTGGTTCAGATATATTGCAATCCTTAACCAGGTCTTTTAAGGTTCCCGGTGTTTCATCATTGTCTCCAAAACGATAAAGTGTTATAACATCGTTGTTCAATAGCTTTTTATCTACCACATCTTCCATTGCTGAAAATTACTATAAACATTATCTTTACAAAAATAACAGTGTTTTTGATATTAAAATAAAGTTAGATCTTAATAACACAAATGATTCTGTATTCCAACAATGTTATTTCTATTCTATAAATCTTTTTTTCTTTTTTTTTTTTTGCTAACTACACAGAAAGCTTTTAGTATTATTTACAAAATCCTGCTTCTGTGATTTCGATGTGCTGCTGTCTCTAAACAGGTCAAGAACAATAGTACATCTGAACCACAGAAGTAGGCATTGATCGAAATTTGATTAAAATGCTCATAGAGTGAAAAGAATACTCATGCGGTTATAGTTTTACTAAGAAAACTTGATTACTTCGTGGACAAGGAAAATTTTTTATATTTATAAAACATACTGCTTCAAAAGTATGCCTAAACCTTAAAAAACATCTGTTGACTAAGATTATTGCAAACTGTTGTCAGCGTTGATCACCACTGTTACCTTGTTGAAGTCTTTTAGAGCAGACCACAGCTTTTGCTTTTGAAGTGTTGATGCAATGTGCCAACGGCTCCAGCTTCAAGTTTGAGTTAATCCAAGCAGACACTACACCAATTTTGGCCAAACCCAACCATAACGCAACAAAGTCGGCACTGTTTTCCATAAACAATGCCACTACATCGCCGCTCCGATAGCCAATCGACTTAACAGAGGAAGTTATGGTTGATAAAAAAGCAGTTAGGAAGTAAATAAATAAGCTTTATAAAGTCAATTATTAAGCTAAATTGGTATTAAACAGATAAAAATCACTAAGCTTATAAAAAATATCAACTGTATTTTTTTTGACTAGTATTTTAATGGTGTTATAACATTCGCTTCTGAAACATTTAGCTGATCATTGCCGGTTTTAAACAAGGCAGTTTTTTTTTCAAAAACTAAAGAGTTCCGATTTTTGGTTCTAATGTCTTTTGGCATTTGTAATTTTTTTTACTTATTTTACGACTTTGCGATTGCTGGTTTTCGTAAGTCAAAGAACAAATACGACAGTCAATGAAGTAAAAAAAATATGAGTGACAGAAATAACTGCAGACGGCCAAGCAACATCAAAAACTAAGAAATTCAGAAATTGTTTATTTTTCTGAGTTTTGAACTGTTTTTTCAAAATCAATTGCATTTTTATCAAATTAATCGCTAATGTTTTAGTTATAGTAAAAAAAAGCAATTAAATTTTCTACACCAAATATCTTTTTGGTTATTATAGAATTCAGTTTGAACAGTGCAGTTACGCTCGTAAATTTAAATCAAAAGCTTGAAAATGACATTACAAAAGTATTAAAACTCTTTTGTGCAGCATGCCAATGAAGAACTTCAGTCTAACAGTGATCAGAAATAGATGAGAAAGATAAACTGAAAGATCTGTAAGTAAGCCTCAAGTTTATAATCTGTCACTTATGATAATTAGACAGATAGACAACAGGCATTCAAATTTTAGTTGTTGAGAATTTCTTAACCATTTGAGTTGAAAAGATTTTCATCTATTACATGTTCAAAAAATAAATTTTTTTTTGGTACGGCAGTGATGCTAAAATAAAAATCCTGTGGCTTTTTATCTGTGTGTTATTGGTAGTCAAGAAGGCTCACTGTTTGAAGATTTTAAAAGTTGTATTTCTAAAAGAAAAAAGGAAAAAAAAACAATTCTTAATCTTTTTCTTTACATTACACAACATATTGCATCAATCGATGAATGCTTTGAGTATACTACTGTCAATATAACCTACAGTAAGTGAAATGATAGAGTTAAAAAACTCCAATACAGTTAGACGGGTTAAATCAAATGAATACAAACCTGAAAATAGTTAGCATATTTGTTCGCCTCCTGATCCAATTCTGTGAATGTCAGATACCGACCAGATTCAATATCAATCAGTGCAGTTTTATTCGGATATCGTTCAACAGTTTCAGCAAATATTTCATGAAGTCCTTTATTTTCTGCTAAGCGTCTTCGCAAATCCATTTTGACCGACAGCAACAAACAAAGACCACTGTAAATAAAAACAAAAAATTTTAAACAGACTATTTAAAAATAGTTGATCAAACTTTTAGTTCATTAGTAGTACGTCTAATAAGTATAACTACGGCTAATGAAGAAAAAACAAAGTGAAAGAAACCGATCAATTGTCTAATTTCAAATAATTTATGTACAAAATTTTTAAATTTAATTAATCAAACTCAAAAACCTTCTGTAAGTTATTCCTTTTTTGACTCCAAATTTAAATGATTCAGTTATTTTAAAAAAAGTTTATAATTAAGAGAAGCAACGATACATTAACATCTATCCTTATCTCTCAATTTCTTCTAAGAAGCTGCAAATTTTGTAGCCTACACAGTTGCAAAAAATGTTTCTTTTTTTCTATTAAATTCTGCAGTATGACGACAAAAAAGCAAAAAAAAAATTTTTTCTGTCTTAGCTATTCGATTAAAACATTAAGCCATTAGAAGAAGTGAAATAATATATGTAACTAAGATAAGTGTTGATTTCACATCAAATTTTTAAACCGTTTTTAAGTAGTTACAATAATATTTTCCTTTTTTGCATAACCATTATTCACATTAACCGTATACTTTTCTACTATTTGTTGTAAAATGACGAAAGAAACTTTTCAGTGAATAAACTATCAGCGTAAAATATACTAAGGTTTGATAAGTTTAATGTGATAAGTACAGAATAAAAGAGAAAGTTTTCTAGTTTTTAGCAGTTCAAAGATATGTTTAATCGAAAGCAAAGCAAGAAAATAAAACAGTTATTAAATGCAGAATAGTGTAGGAAAAGTTGTTATAATTACAATTACTGTTTTACTGTAGTATATTTGTTTTGATTAGCAGTAAATTACTAACCCGATATCACGATTCAGTGTCAAATAGGAACGGTAGATGAAGTCAGAGTATTTATGAATGACCCACATCACAAACGACAGCAATAGAAAGTATGCTGCTGAGAGTCTTGTAAACCCGATTAACCCGGTGAACAGTAGGATACTGAAGATATCGTGCAACGCAAAATCTGATACAATAGGTATCTCCTGCCTAAAACTTTGAAACGTACGATCTTAGAATTCAATAACTGTTCTGAATGATTGCTAAAACAATTAAAAATTGACTACGCTTTTATTTTCTCTTTTTTTCATTGTTTTTTTTAGAGAAAGAAACAATCAAATATATTCTTCAAATTATTGCTGATAATTGAAATTTTTAATAGAAAATTGTAAACAACATACAACCTCGTATGATAAAGCAGTCAAAAAAGAAAAATGTAAAACAATAAAATAAAGAATAAAACAGATAAAACAAGAAACCTTCTGCAATTCTCTGCAGTTTTAAAATAAAACCAGCAAAGAAGAAGGTGTAAAAAAAAGTGGCCTTTTCTAGACTCTTCTTACAATTTTTCTGAATAATTTTGAACACTTTAAACTTTTTTTTTAGAACTTTTTTCCTTCTACAGGAACAATGCCAGCAAAAAGAAATAACAAGCGAAAAGTCTCCTTTAGAAAATTTTTTCCTGTCATTTTTGACTAAGGAAAAAATGATTGCGTATTAATGGTTATTCCAAATACGGCTCATACGACCAAAATTTTATTTCCTCTTCACTGCGAATCACTGAACAAATCGTGCACCGATCAAAACTGCACCTTGAAAACTAGTTCCTTTCTTCACAGGTTATAGATGGTATAAACTTTCTGCAAGAGAACGCAGAAGGTTGTTGCAGAAAGGAAAGATGCTTAGTTTTTGCTCAGAACAAAGAACCATTTTTAGTAAAGCACGTATTTCCCATTTTTTTTTCTTGCTTTAGCGATACTTTCTAGGTAACTCTCATGGGAATAAAGAAAAGAAGAAGAAGAAG